AAAGCACACTTAACCATTTTGGTCAAGAACACTAATGATTTGTCAATTTGTGACTGTTAACTAAGCTACAATTCAATCCATTATTAAGCTCCATTATTCAATCTTATAATTGGAATTATTATTATCATTATCATTATGACTAATTTGATTATTATTACCCTGGTTTCAGAAAATTGTCTTTTATTCTTTTGCTTACTAAAAAATGTTATCGAGCCGCAAAGTGGTGAGACGTTTCCATTAATCGGTTTGTTTTTATGCCAAGCCTCTGGTCTAAAGCGTAGGCAGTCTCACTTTCATGCTGTATTTTAGCAAACCAATCACAGATCAGAGTATTTTAGCTGTCAAACATGTCAAATAAACGAACCMAAAAAGATAAGGACTCATCACAACAAACCGATTAACGGAAACGCCTCGCAGCTTCGTAGCTCAATAACATAGGCAAAAGCCTCTGGAACTGCAGACAGATATGAATAAACTTATTCGTCATTAATTATATTATTAATTTGCTAATTAAAGACAGTTTAGATGGACAAACCTCAGCCATGTTGTGGTCATGATAYTGTGCTACACTTCTAAGGGAATTGATCCAATGTTGTCTTTCTTTTGGATTGTTTGCTGTAATAAACGGAGGAGTGAGGGATGAAAAGATCATTAAAATGAACCAAATTTAAAACGCAGCAATTTGCAGAAATCATGATCTTTTTTGCTTATTTTAAACTATATAAAATAACAGCATAATCATATGAGGAAGTGGCTGGTCTCAATACACATAAAGTGTAGAGCTAGTTATATAATGATATCAAAGAGGCAAGATTTTGCTGTAACTCGGAGTTTCGTGCTACGCACTGAAATACTGTCTGATGAGTGCGTAGCACGAAACTTGGAGTTACAGCAAAATCTTTTCTCTTTGATATCATATTATTACTTTTTTCACAAAGTACTAGTGCTTGGCAACTTAAAAAGTATTGGCGATTATATTCTATAATTTCTGATATATTTTATATATAGATTGGAATATGAGTCAAAACAATCTAATTTCTGCATATTGCTGTAATGGATGACATATCAATATTTCAAGTTCAAGCTAAAAATTAACTTAGCACTACTTTGTTTTAAYATGCACATGCCATTGTATTAAAATACCTCTAAGTTTGAAAACATCGCCATTGACAGCATTCACACTGAAGGTAAAGGAATCTTCATCACTTGGTGAGACAACAGCTCCCTACAAACAATGTCAATTCAAYAGTCTTCTTCAYGGTCCCTTGCRCCATCTTGAAAGGTAGCTGTGCCTTTGCATCAAAGCRAGATGACCRTTGAGCRTGCAATGATAGAAACCTTCTTTCACACCTACAGACAATTATTCAGGCAGGTATCTATCATTGCTCAACAGTTGTCTTGCTTCAATGTAAAGGCACKGCTACYTTTCAAGATGGCGCAGGGAACCGGCCAAGAAGAAGACTATTAAAACTTACATTTATTTCAACTTCTATTTTGTAAATTATTTTTATATTGGAGTGTATTGTACATTATACTTACTGCTAAGTTCACAGATCCTCTTGGGCCTTGTTTGATTTTTTCTTTTTCCTTAATCATCAGAAAATGTTAATCATTCAATTGATTAATTAATCAAGCAGACAATCATCATATCAATCAATCAATCAATCTTTCACTAAATTAATCATTAATTCCTACAATCAATCAATCAGCAATCAGATATTCATGCCATCAATCACTCAGTCAGTCAGTTGCAATCAATCAATCAATCATTCATTCAAACAATCAATCAATGCAATTAATCAATCAGTCAACCCATCAATCAATCAATCAATCAATCAGTCATTCAATCAAATATTCATGCAATCAATCAATCCACCAATCAACCACTTCGACACAAGGTAACCAATCAGTTCAGTTTCTATTCAAATAAAATCTAATACCATATAATAGTCCAACATCCCAGTATCAGGATCTAACGTAAACCATCTGTACTGCCATCCTCTCACATAATTGGTCCATTTACTTAGCTGTCCCTCCATTGGTTTCCTAGCAACAGATGAGTTAAAGATATATTCAGGTATACCTTCATCATTCATTGCAGGCATAGCAACCATTGCTTCACTGCAAGTTGGCATTGTTTATAGTAAAAAGGACTATATTGCATTGCAAATATCACTGTGATTATAATAATATATACATATATATAATATATGGACCATATGATGAGCGAGTGGACAATTCAGTCTGTCGACAAACACCAGCTGACGGCTCCATTTTGTGTAAAACAATGACGAGCAAGTTTGTGTCCCTGTCCCGCGATCTTAATTAAATTAAAAATGTTTTCAAAACTCCTTAAAAATGTTTTCAAAACTCCGCTGATTTTTGAAGGATTAATTCAGTTTTAGCTTTCATCAAAATCTGAACATCTAGACCTCGTGATTAGTGTTTTGTTTTTAAAATAATAAGCTTAAAATGGTTTCCACTTTAATAATGGGAAAATCAAGCATATCTTTTGTTCTGATGACTTAGATGAGAACTCTGTACCTGAATAAATTCTCTTCCTGCTGCTGAAAATTCTAAAAAGGAGAAGAAAATGTTAAAATAAGTCCAAAGAAAGACCTTACGCGTACATGTAGTAAACTCCCGCAAAGAACTCATGAAGTCACTAACCAAAAAAGCTACCCCAAACGAATCTCTAAAAAAAACAAATAATTATCTTAACAGAGGTCGTATAAAGGTACCTTTGCCTTCTCTAATACTGACAATATGGCAGTCCGTTCTTCTTCAGTGTAGATCGTTAAATCAATGTCTCCCGAAGGATCGTGAATCACTGTTTCGGACGCCATGTTGGAAATCACCATCGTTTAGAGGATTGGGCACTAGTAATGTATTGGTATCATGGGTAGGGTGGGTAAGGGTTGTTTTGCTAGTGCTACGTTGCAATGAWCACAAAATACACCAAAATGTGGACRTTTTYATGSGATATTTCATTACTTCTTATATCAAGAAGTTTTGTTTGGCTAGAGCTGATGCCTAAAGTAGAAAATTAGATATGAATTCGACCCATAACAAAGGCTACAAGATAAGGGGGAAAAGCCCGGCTTTTTTTTCCTTTTGTTTTCCAATCTCTTTATTCTAATATGAATAATTAAAGATTATCAATATTTAKAATATAATTATATATTTAAGGGGAATATATTGAAATACAAACGCCAAGAACATATACAACATATTAGAAAGTTACAAATATAAGCTTAATGGTTGAAAATCGCTTCAATGTATACATTCATACCTCAAACCTTTCAATACAACGGGACGGTCACTTTGGCCGCTCTTTTCATCCAAGTAAAAACCCTATTTGTGGATTATCACTGGTGGTAACGTCTTCATCTTACTTTCTAAGCCGGCGCTGGTCATCGCAGATTGATTACTTATTAACACACTGTAACATATTACAAACAGATTAACTGGCCTGTTAACCGGAAGTCAGTGGTAACCGGAAATAAAGGTAATCTTAATCGATATATTTCGCTTTTTTTTTTCTTTTTTTTTGTTGATTTTTGGTTGGTTTACACTACACAGGAAAGGGAAACGGTTTCTTCATTTAAAATTGGTTTGATTTTAAAAGTTCGAAAAATATAAAACGAATTTTATAATTTTCGATCGAGCAGTCTGAGTCAGTATTAAAGCTTGGGAATAGTTCACTAGGGCTTGGGTTACCTGTGGAATGTCGTGGGCATGTTTTATTTGCAGAAACAGCACGACAACTTTTATTTTTGCAATGAAAAAGCAAAATTCAACCGGCTCAGGAAGACTGTTTTAGTAGACATGATATGCGATGATTATTACTCCCACCATGCTTTGCTTTACAAAATGGCGTCGCAATGTACAACAGCTAGCACACGCGAAGTGCGTCCCTCTTATTCCGTATCATCGGTAGTCCGTAATAGCGGGAGCAACTTTCTCTCATTTCTCTGTATATTTCACAGGGGTTTCCTCCCCCGACCCCACTACCCTTCCGTTCC